AAACAGCCTTCACCCAGGAAAAAGAGAACATATCCATGTTCTCGTCTTTATATTCCTAACACTTTGCACAGTGGCTGGCACAATTTAGGTGTTTAGTGTTTTCCTACATTAGCATTTTTCCAGCCTGAGTGCTCATCTCCAAAGGGGAACGGGGAGCATAAGTGAACCAAGTTCAGAAGTCTAGCACTCAACCCTGCGTGTCCCTCATACTGATACCATTGTCTGTTTTCTGAACTCTAACAACTGTGTGGTCTCCTCCTCTGGTTTCTTTGTATCTTTTCAAACTTTATCTTGTCATAAATATTTCTAAGTCATTTGTAAATTTCCTAGCTTATTTGGGCAATTTCTATGTTCTTGGCAGAATTTCAAGAGCTTTCCATTTTGGAGTCCTGATTTCCCTAATGACCATCCACTCAACCTCTTCTTACCCTTCCAAAATTATGTCTGGGATAAATGACATTTTATTGTTCTTCCAGCATCATCATATTTCCAATTGGCTTAATTATATTCATCCAGAATTCCTATTGATATCATCCTTGTATTAAATTTCCACTACAAATTATTTTAAATTCTGAATTTCATTAAGTTTTCAAATAGCATTTTCAGGCCAAACCAAAAATTGCTTCACTCATACTGGATGTGTGTGTGCAATAATCTGCCCATTACTACCGTGCCATACACCTGAAAGAGACAGAGGTTACCAGTGTACATATTTTCAATTAAATATAGGTCAACAAGATACTCAAGAGTTATTAGAAATTTGTCAGATAGCTTCAGCTAAATGCTTGTTTCTTAGAATGAATAGCGAGCTTCTAGATGTCCTGTTGTTCATACTGGGTGGGTAATAGTGAAGGACACTCAGAAGACCTGTTTTCTAATGTATCACTCACCAGCTCTATGGCTCTGGGCAAGTTACCTAGTGGTGCTTAAACTTAGTTTTGTCATCTATTAAATGAGACTGGATTTGGTGATCAAGCATTGAATATCCTGATTTTTCCATACAACTGCTTACCTATGTAGTCTCCAACAGCATGGCAGAACCAAGAGAGAAACAAATGATTGTATTTTCTCTTTGCCAAAGTAGAAAGAAGATTAAATAAGAATTGTCTCCACTCTTTCATCTCTCTTGAATGTCTAAGAAAGATTAAACATAGTCAACAGACTCAGGTATGCCTGTGTTGACATTTTCAAGTAACTGGAGGGAATTTAGATATAGTCTTAATGTCTAAACAGGGTCATTACTTGTGTGTTGGTTTATTTGTTCTGTCATAATTATCTACTGTTTTTTGGTAGTATCTACTGATGAACTAACTTAAACATTAATTTCTTGACACTGTTGGGACTGTCACAGTACCTGTCTGTAGGCAGCAGAGAAATTAGTTTAATCTCTGTTCCTTAAGTACTTGTAAATATTTAGGAAAGCACAGAAACTAAGTGAAGAGCTATCTTACATAATGTATTTCAAGAACTCATTTGTTGGGTGTATTATTTGACCTATGAAAGAAATTCTTTTGAAAACATCTAGGTTTGAGTACATGATTCTATATTCCCAGAGAAAAGATCCTCCTGCTTTCTCTTAAAATGACCCATTGCCTTGAGACCAGCAGTTGGCATAATGGCCATGTCGCTTGGACCTCCATGTAGTAGACAGCTGTTCGAGTCCTGGACCTGGTGGCTTAAACTCATGCCAGGCATGTGTGCGTGCGTGCTCAATATCTCAAAAGGAGAATGGAGGAGAAGGGATTGCAGCATGGCCATCCCCCCTGGGGGGTGATTTCTTGCTTTCTGTCTCTCTGTCTCTGTCTTTCTGGAAAGCGCACAAGCCCTATGGCAAAAACCTCTCCAAAAGAAAAAAAGAAAAGAGCCATTGCCTTGAATTTTATGGCTTGCCTGAAGAGGAAGTTGCAAAGCCAAGTCAGAGTTTGGTGGGGGTGATAGCTGCCAGCCTCATGAAATGACCTGCACCTGAATACCAGTAAGGTCATCAGCAGGGCATTTACCTTTAACAACATTCTTTTGTTTCTGTTTTTGTTTTTGTTTTGCCATAAAGCGCATGTACTCATTGAAGAGAGAAAAGGAAATGACAAATCACTACCAACGTTCTATTTTGAGAGATTTTGTCAGAGGGCGCATGCACTTGCTGGAGAGACAGAGAGAAAGTGAGAAATCACCCCCTAGGGTAGATGGCCACTCCACAATCTCTTATTTTCCATTCTCTTCTCAGGATTTTGGGCACAAACACATACACACCCAATGTGAGTTTCAAGCCACCAGGTCTGGGACTCAAACCATGGTCTGCCATGTGGGGAGTCCAGTGTTTTAACCACTAGGCCACCTGTTGGCCCCACCCCCAACACTCTTTATGTTAATTGCTTCTTATTTAATATAACCAGACTGTTTTTGATTGTCAGAAGAGTCCGTCTTACTTTGTCTTAGGGTTTCAGAGTGTTCTGTCCTTGGTAAAAATACAAGAATTTATTTTTGGTTGTGTACACGTGTGTTTATGTCTGTATGTGGTTCATATCTTCTGGATGGCAAGATAGTTCCAGTTAATTACTCCTCATAATTGAAATTCAGTGGAAGAATGGATTTCTTCTTCTCCTTCTCCTTTTTTCTTTTTTCAGAGTTACAACTGGGAAGGTCAAACTGGCCCACTTTCCCTGTAACTCTCATAAGGATCAAATTGAGAAGTACTAGCTACATACCTACATGACATTTTCAGCTACTTGAAGAACCATCTTTGTCTACTGTTGTTCCAAATGCAGCTTACATGTTCTACCATGTATATGCATGCTTATGGAGTCCTTGAAATAAGGACTGCATAGGAACCCCTGCATAGGAAACCCTGGTTGTAGTGCCAATTGAGGGGGGCTCAACTTGGGCTTCATCTTTTCTTTCTGGGATTCTTAGTTTTCAATGCTCTAATTTCTTGGTCTAAACATGCAGATGCTACTAATCTGGGGAGAGGAAACAGTGAATAAATAAGATTGGGATCAGCAATAACAACTAAATAAAAGAAGCACCACTTCCCATTGATGAGAGCATTTTACTGTTTAAAGCACTTTATAGACATCATTTTATATGACCTGTTTAAATATTTATTGTGGGGATCTATATGCATCCTCATGTACAACACGGTTGATCATCTGCACTGTGGCAGACTCTCTTGTGTCCTTTCAAGATCTTGATCTTCTCAGGTACAAATAAGGAAATTGAAGCTTAAGTGATGGAGCTGAGCTGCAAATTATTTTTTAAGACTCCAGGATCTAGACCCTTTTATCCATATCATGCTGCCTCTTGTATGTCAGGATGAGTTGGGATGTGCCCTGAAGTGCCATTTGGGAACCTGGGCCTTCTTCCTCTCTGTGCCTTTCCCTTTTTGTGCTACTTCAAGAAAACCGGGTCATATTTATCTACCCACCCTCACCCCTACTGGCTAGCTTCTAAAAATTCAAATATGGCAGTCACTCAAAAAACACTAAGTGAATACAAATTAGGTGTACTGGCAACTTAGATGTCCAGGCTCTCCTGAAATGCAACTTTTTTCTTTTAACCTACAAAGCAGTTATCCAAGGTGAGAGAGAAGAACTATATACGTGATACATATTTTAACCCCTCTCGATTGGCAAAATCAACCCCATAGGCCACCATGATTAATTAAGGATGGAGGCTGTCCCAACCAAGGGACTAAGAATGAGCCATATTTGGTCACAGAACTCAGTCTTCTTTTGAGCAAGTGTGTAAACAATGTTTCATGAAATTATAGGCTCTCGGTAAGTACCCTGCATCTAATACATATCTGACGCAGAGCAGGTGCTCTGATAAGGGACTTCTTTTCATCTGCCAAACCGT